AGGATTGCTCAGCTAAAAAAATAAAATCTGAAAACATTTATCCATAAAGATATATGTGCTCCAATGTTCATTGAAGCTTTATTTATGGTGATCAAGACATGGAAACAATGAAAGTGTCCTTTGATAGATGATTGGATAAAGAAGATGTGGTATATATACACAATGGAATACTATTCTGCCATAAGATGAAATAGTGCCATTTGTGACAACATGGATGGATCTTCAGATTATTATGGTAAGTGAAATAAATCAGAGAGAAAAAGTCCAGAACATATGATTTCACTGATATGTGGTATATAAAACTAAAACAACAAAGGGACAAGGCAAACAAATGAAGCAACAAAAACTCATAGACACAAACAATAGTTTAGTGGTTACCAGAGGGTAGGGGTGAGGGGTGTGGTAGAAGAGCATAAACAGGGTCAAATATATGGTGATGGAAAGAGGACTGACTCTGGTGGTGAACACACAATGTGATATATAGACGATGTATTGCAGAACTGTACACCTGAAACTTATGTAACTACTAACAATTGTCGCCCCAATAAGATTTAATTAAAAAAAACCTATGTGTTCTACTGAATGTGTTTATCAAAACTCAAAGAACGGTACACCAAAAAAAGCAAATTTTACTGTAAACAGGAAAAAAGTGAATAAGAATAGCACCTACCTCAAAAACAAAACAAAACCCATATGTTTTGTGCATTTGTGAGCATATTTCAGTATGTTTATATATGCACGCACACCAAACTATTAAAACAATGGTTATCTTTAGGCAATGAGATAGGAGGGTGATTTTTCACATTTTACTTATACAGTCCTATATCTTTTGACCTCATGGAAAGCCGTATTGTTTATAATTAATTTTTTAATAGAGAAGACCTTTAAAAATGAAATGTCCACAGGATATCAGCATGAGCATGATTCATTTTTCCGCTGTTTACTTTTTGGTCATAAAGCAATTCAGCTCTTAATAATTAGTCACATTTATTTTACCATCATTCTCTTCATAAAAAGCTATTTTAAAACAAATTAACATTTCCTTTGGAGTTATAGTTTCCAAAGAAGGATCAAAAACCAACATTTAAAATGGAAAACAACAGGGTGAAATAAGCCATGAACAGAACATTCAAATTAGTTGTGATCTTAATGTGAATACTTTGATTATAGAAAGAAAAGGGCTTTTAAAAAAGACAAGCTCTCTTTAAACTTGTACATGAGTGGGTCTTTGTGGAAAGCTAATGGAAAAAAACACCATCACAAAAGGGATTTAACTAAATCTTTTACCTGTTACTGAATAACTTACTTGATTTAGCAGTCACATTTGCTTCTCTAATCAGGTAGTGGTCAGATTGATGAGCCTGTGAGAAAACCATTCTCACCTTCTTGCTTCCTCCTAGAAACTTCCACACCAATGTGCCCTACCCACCCCCACCCGTCCTCTTCTATTCTTTTTTTTTATTATTAAATTTACTGTGTTAACATTGGTTAATAACATTATATAATTTTCAGGTGTACAACTTTATAATACGATATCTGTATACTCTATAGTGTGCTCACCACTTAAAGTCGACTCTTCCTCTGTCACCATGTATTTGTCCCCTTTTACCTTCTTCATCCTCCCCACACTCCACTTCTGCTCTGGTAACCACCATTCTTTTGTCTGTATCTACCAGTTTTTTGTTTGTTTGCTTGCTTGTTCGGGGGTTTGGGGGGGGGGTTTGGGGCTTGTTTATTTGTTCATTTGTTGCTTTTTGTTTTATAGCCCACATATGAGTGAAATCATACAGTTCTTGTCTTTGTACTTTTGACTTATTTCACTTTGCATGATACTTTCAGGATCCATCCATATTGTTGCAAATATTGGGTCTTCGGAAAAGTCATGACGCATGTTCGCAACAGATGGCACTAGTTCATTTTTGTAAGTACTAGAGTCATTTGCATCTATGTTATTGCTATGTCATTTGAAAGCTGACAGTTCTAGCTTAATTCTAAAAAAATTGAGTGATTTGATTGAGTTTTAGAGATTTTACAACAAGCTGAAGATAGAAGACCAAACTGTGCATTTTTGCCATATTTTACTGTTTTACTTCCATAAAGGGAAGAACACGCGTCAAGCTTGTGAAAAGTTGCATCAAGTTTACGGTGACAATTCTCTACAAGAATGTCAGTGCCAACGATGGTTCATGAAATTCCGTGCTGGTGATTTTTATCTCAACGATGCTCCTCGGTCAGAGAGGCCCACCGATTTTCATGACGACAAAATAAAGGCATTGATCAAGTCAAACCCACATTACATGACATGACAGATTGCAGAAACATTGAACATCCATCATTCAAGCATTCACAACCACCTGAAGAAGCTGGGATACGTAAGCAAGCTCGATATTTGGGTTCTGCTTGAACTCAAAGACGTTCATTTGATGGCACGTATCAACATCTGCAATATGCTCATTAAATGTGAGGAAAACGATCCTTTTTGAAGTGATTGATAACTGGTGATGAGAAGTGGATTGTTTACAATAATGTGGTGCACAAACAGTCTTGGTCCTGATGTGATGATTCACCTCAAATGACATCGAAAGCAGACATTCATCAGAGGAAGCTTATGCTCTCAGTGTGGTGGGATTTTAAAGGTGTCATGTTTTTCGAGCTTCTCCCAAGGAACCAAACAGTCAATTTGAATGTGTACTGTGGACAATTGGACAGTTTGAATGAATCCATCATCCAGAAACGTCCAGAGCTTGATAATTGTAAAGGAGTTGTGTTCCATTGCGACAACGTGAGACTATACACAAGTTTGATGACCCATCAAAAATGATTGGAACTTGGATGGGATGTGTTGCCACACCCACATACTCGCCTGACCTTGCACCGTCAGACTTCCACTTGTTTCGCTCTCTTCAAAACTCCTTGCATGCTATAACGTTCAATTCAGATGAGGCTGTAAATCAGCACCTTGTTCAGTTTTTCGCAAATAAAGACAGGACCTTCTATGAACGAGGAATTATGAAGCTCACTGAAAGATGGCAAAAGGTTATCGAACAAAACAGGCAATATAACATTGATTGATCTTTGTTCTTTATGTAAGTAAATGACCTTTGAATAACATAGACAAAATACATCATGACTTTTCCAAAGACCCAATAGCAATATTTCATCTTTTTTATGGCTGACTAGTATCCTCTTGTATATATGCACAATGTCTTCTATTCTTAATCTGCCACTTCTCCAGCCTTCTTTATCCTGTTACTCTGACCTTTCTGCAGGCCTTGAATTCTGCAGCCATAGCCACTCCACTAACGTCCCTAAGTATGCATCTTGTTTGATGAAAGGTCATCCACAGTGGTGGTTTTAAGTTGTTTATTTTTTACTAAACTCTTAAAATTGTAAGCAGGAGTCCATAAGGCACATAAAGGCTGCTTTGATTGAAGTAGGGGCAGGGGCAAGAGTACTGCCCAGTTAGCCTTCTCCTCACACCCTGTAGGAGTACCTGAGTTCCTGCAGAAACCAGTTTGAAAACATTGCTTAATAGTTTTCTTCATTAATGGGTCTGGGGAGTGTGCCCTCGATAGGACTGTCAGGCGTAATGAACAAAAATATAGAATGTCCAGATAAATTTGAACATCAGACTTAAAAAAGGAATACAGTTATCTTCCTCTTTCTGAAAGTTCACATTACTCTATGTAGCTTTTACAAACGACATACATAGTACCTGTTTTCGCTAACCGATAAAAATCCAGAGAGGATTTTGCTTTTACCAAAAAAAAAATGGTGAAAAGTGAAAATGGTGTTCAGTGTTTGTTTTGCAGTGAGCCCTTACAGAGGCAGAGCGAGCCCTCAGCAGCAAGAGTGGCCCCGCCCCGCCTCTTCCTGGGAACCACACTTAGTTAGCACCACCGCACCAAGCCGCCATAGCTTTGAACTGTGTCTGTGTGCTTTATCTAGTCTCATTTTGTGCATCTGTTAGCCAGATGGATCTTAAGGTATCAGAGCTTGTAAGGGTGCTACACTTAGCATAAAATTGTACGTAATTAAACGTATTTGGTATGACTTAATAGGTTATTTGGGGGATCTAGGAATGCTCAAAAAGTTTTCCATATAAATTAATTGTAATTGCTTCTTTGCTTTATGTCATTTCGGCTTACAAAAGGTTTCATAGGAACACTCTACTTTCAGATAGCAGGGGAAACCTGTAATTTTTTTACCACAGTAGGTCCTAGAATAAAGTCTTTTGTTTCAGGTCGTTTCATTATAGTGTTGATCAGATGCCGTAAGAAATTAACTCTTTTTTTTTAAGATTTTTTATTGGGGAATTGGGGAAGGGGAACAGCCAAGTTGTTGTCCTTCAGTCTTAGTTGTGGAGGGTGCAGCTAGCTCAGCTCCAAGTCCACTCGCCATCTGGCTGCCTGTTGGCAGCTCACAGCCACTCAGCTCAAGGTGCCATGTTCAATCTTAGTTGCGGGTGGGCATAGCCCACCATCCCATGCAGGTGTCCAACCAGAAACCTTGTTGTTAGGAGCACGTGCTCTCACCAGCTGAGCCATCCTGCCACCTGTTGGCAGCTCAGCCACAGCTCAGCTCAGGCACAGCTCACTGGCCCATGTGGGAATCATACTGGCAATCCTGTTGCTCAGAGCTCGCGCTCTTAACCAACTGAGCCACTCGGCCGGCCCAATAAATTAACTCTTGTTTATATCAATTAGCCCATGGTAAAATTGGTTTCATTATACTTTGCTTAAAGTTGCAAAACCTATTAATGATGACATTAAGTGAGGACTTACTGTATACCTATGTCCCATGCAATATTTGGAAGACAGTTATACCAAAATAAGTGATTTGCTATTTTTCTGGAATTTAAATTTAACTGACCATCCTGTATTTTTTCTGGCAACCCTAGCCTTAGAGGAAATCAGGGCATTGTGTCTCAAAGGAGCCAGCATCAGAAATAAGAAAGATATCGAGACTCCCCACATTACAACTGTGATACTCATACTCACTCCCAGGATTTCTCTTGTGTAGTAGTACTTGTCGTCCTTCTCATATGACAGGAAGGCATGCACAAACAAGAATACATTCAGCCCCAACCAAGTAGCCTAGAGGAAAAAAAACAAGCATAAAATTAAGTGAAATTTGAGTATGGGCAGGAGGAGATAAGGAATAGGAAACAGTGTCACCCTTTGGCTACTTTGCATTTACCTGTTTTCTTTTTAAATCAGTACAATCCCTCTAGTATTTAACTTATTTTCAGAGTGAGTTATCACTTTGATACATGCATTAGACACTAATGAGTAGGGTCTGCCGACCACGGTCTATGGGCCAAATCTGGCTCATTACCTGTTTTGTACAACCTACGAGCTAAGAACAACTTTTACATTTTTTTTTGTTTTCACATTTTTAAACAGTTGGAAAAAATCAAAAGAAGAATGATATTTTACTACATGAAAATTATATGAAATTCAAATTTCAGTGTTTATAAATAAAGTGGTATTGGAACTTAGCCATGCCTACTTATATCTGTATTATTTATGACTGCTTTCATGATACAGTGAATGAGTTGAGCAGTTGTGACAGAGATCATATGGCCTGCAAAGCCTAAAAAGTGTATTACTCAGACCTTTACAGGAAACATTTGCCAACTCCTGGACTAGAGTATTTAAATTATTACCTAAAAGATGGCAATCAGTGAGTGATGGATTTCTAAAGGAAAAAAGAACAAATTTAACAGCTGTAACAATACTCATCTGAATAGGACTAAACCATTCCAGATGGGCCTGCCTCTTTAATTGCACCCTGACACACATTTTCCTGTTTTTAGATTGTGAATCTCTTTGCAAGTTAACCTATCATGGCTTTGGACTCATTTGAGTTCTTAAGGCTGCTTTGTCTATTCCAAGCTCTGTCTCTGCATTGGCAAAGGGGGATAATTGGAACCCACTGCCCACTGCCTTGGAAACCAACCAGTTCAGATCTAGCCCAAGCTTGGAGGTGCTAATCTGTAACTGAGCAGGACTCTAGGAAACTGGGATGCTTCTAAAACATATCCCTGACCATTCAGATTCACTAGATATGAACCACTTACACACATCTAGCAGCATAGCCTAGTGATTTAAAATGTGATATTGGAATAAAACTCCCTAGGCTCAAAATTTAGCTCCACCACTTTCTAGCTCTGTAATCTTAGACAGACATGTGAATTAACTCTCTGAACCTCAATTCTGCTGAGAGGCTTATGTGAAATAATGCATGTTAAGTAATTAATACAAAGCTTGGTGCATAGTAAGAGCTCAATGAATGCTTGCTACAGAGTTGCATTGTTTCCAGGCTGGCTTTACCAATTAATTTCTTCCTACATCCTTTGCTTAGAGACCCTTTCAGAGATGAGTGACTTCCAGAGTTTCTCTGACCCTAATGGAAAAAGGGATGAAAGCCACAGATACCTCAAGATTCAGAAGATAGAGGAGAGAAACATATTATATTTAAAGGGAACAGAAATATTTCAGGATCCGAGAGGGACACAGAGGCAAGAACTCCTGTGTCTGCCTATAATCAATTGTAGGCAAGGCAGATGATGAGATACAGTGACATCTGGGAGTCAGGAGTTCCGTTTCTCACCTGGCCTATCATTTCCTCTGCTATGAATGGAAAAGAAAGTGGAGTCAATTACCTTGCAGGAAAGAGAAGTAAAAATATGTTTTGAGTAATTTATTTTTTATTAAAAAATGTAGTGCTTAGGAGTGTATGTCAGAGATAACAAGAAGTCTGAGCCTGCCAGCAGGATTGGTAAGGGATGGAAGGAAATTCAAAGATATATTGTTAATGTGAGTCACCACCATGGGCGATGAACTCTCTGAGCAAAAAATAAGAGAAGGATAAAAAGGGCAGAGGATTTTAGAGCTAGAAACACCTTTATTAATATTTTCAATATTGATTACATGTTGAAAGGATAACATTTTTGACATGTAGGGTTAAACAAATATATTACTAGACATTAATTTCACCTATTCTTACCTTTTTCAACGTAAGTATTAGAAAATTTAAAACTCACATATGTGGCTCACATTATATCTCTAGTGGACAGTGCTGAGTCTGATGGTCTCTAAAATCACCTTTAACTCAAATGTTCAATAATTTTATGAAAGCTTGATGTGAGCAGTACAGGAAGAATGGAGAGAAATGAATGCTCTATAGCAGTAGTTAGAAGTGTGATGGAAAAGAAAAAGAGAAGACAGAAAATGTAAACAGATTTAAATTCAAATACTTGTTTGTGGCTTGACAGCATGAACAATTGCATAGTATGTCTCTTCACCAATTTCTAGAGTTGAATTTTTTTTCCTTTTCTAAAATGGTGAAATATATCATACACAGAAGATTATATAAACATATATCTGTAGTCCTAGATTGGGACTTTTTAACTGATAACTGACCTTGATAAGGTCAATATTTGCGTGGAATCTTTCCCTTTAAGTAACTTTACAAATATTAACAAACATGATGTCTCCTTATTCTGTTAAGAGTAATTAATAGGCAGTAAAACATCACTTACCAGAACAAAAAATGAGAGCCAGTGGTTAACCACCCAGTTTCTCATTGTCAAGAGGTGCTTTGGGACCTCTCTAGGTAGCAGGAAGATTCAGCAACCTGGATTCTGGAGAGGTTCTTCAGTGTTGGAACCTCTGTCCAGCTAGGGTCTGTAAATCTTTAAGAGATGAAAGATGCACATCTACCCACAGTGATTCCAGGAATAAATAAGTACATTCGGCCTTCCTCCTCTGCACGGAACTATTTTATCAGCTTTGGTAGACCAGCCCTACCTATGAGAAGCACCGGGGCTTTCCCTGATGGGGATTTATCCCTTCAGGAAATAGCAGTCTTCTTGGGTGAGAATATGCTCTCATCATCTTATCAACATGACCTAATGTGAGGCATTGCTTTCCTTGATAAGGCATTTGCTAAGGTTCCTTGCAAGAAAGACGTTAGGCTGGGCTATAAATAGATAACCTCAGGAGAAGCAGGACAGGAAGTGAGTATGTTAAGGAAGTTGGTTTAAGATGGACTTTCAACATATGCAGTTCTTTTGTATATCAATTACATTTCAAAAATGCTGTGAAATTTTATTTTTAAAGAGTCTTTTAAGTAATTAAAATGTAAGATGATTTCCTATTAAAAAAAAAAAAGATGGACTTTCAGAAGAGCTGCCACATCTCCTAGCTGCGATTTGGGTCTCAAGCCTGGCTAACTCAGAAATGTCAGTATCTGGAGGGTGATCAGAATCCAAGAGGATGATTTGGTTCTGGGGAGAGCTTGGCTGGCTGGGAGGACAAGTGAAAAGAATGGCCAAATAGAATAAGAGAAAACTTAACGGTATAAGTATACACCTGAGTTCACAAAACAGAGTCAAAGTACTCAAAATGAGGGAGGTGATTGTCTCCTAGTATGATTGATTACCTAGAGTTGTGTGTTCAGCTCTGGGTGCCGATTTTTTTCCTTTTCTAAAATGGTAAAACATACATAGAAGGGTATATAAAACATATATGACATTAAAGAATTGTTTTAAGGAATGAGTATCTATGTACTCACTACTTAAGTTTAAAAAATAATAGAACATTTATTTCCAGTATCTTAAAGCCCTCCATGGGGCCCTCCCTGATCACATCTCCCTGCTGGTCCTCTCCCCTCCTCCATAAGATATAACCACTATCCTGAAATTAGGGATAAACGTTGCCTTGTTTTTCTTTATAGTTTTATTAACTAAATGCATTCCTAAACAATCTGTTGTTTAGCTTTTTCTATTTTTGAACTTTTTAATAAATGAAACCTAGCTGTTTGTATATATATATATGCTCCTGGGATTTGTTTCTTTCAGTCAACATTGTGTTTTTGAGATGCATACATGTTGGTACGTATAGCTTCAGCTCATTTACACTGCTATATACTATTCCATTGCATGAATATACCATGGTTTATTCATTCTACTATTGTTGGATATGCTGATGGAACAATGTTAATGGAATGATGTACATGGGCTATAATTCCTCTAAGGTATATATATACCCAGGAGTGGAATTCCTCGGTCTTGGGATTTGCACACGTTCAACTTTACTATGTAATATCAAATCCTTTCCCAGAGTGCTCACATAAATGTAGACTCCAGCAAGCCATGGATGAGCATTCTACTTCCTCCATGTGCTTACCAACACTTGGTATATTCTAGACTTTTTTATTTTTATGATTCTAGTGAATGTCAAATACAATTTTATTGTGGTTTTAATTTTCATTTTTCTGGTTACTAATGAGGTTGAGTGTCTTTTAATTCAACTATTGGCCATTTGAGGTTTCTCTCTTGAGAAGTTCCTATTCTAGTTTCTAGCTTATATTTCTATTGGTTTATTTTTCTATGGCTTTTAGATTCTTAGAGTTCTCTTTATAATCTGATATTAATCATTGATTGGTTATGTTTGTAGCTTGTCTTTTCACTCTATTAACAGTGTTTTCTGATAAATAAAAGTTCTTAATTTTAATGTATTCTGATTTACCAGTCTTTTCCTTTATGTATTTTCTGCCTTTCTTTAGAAATCTTTCACTACCCAGAGATCATTAAAATATTCCTCTAATATTTTTATACTTTTTGCCTTTCACATTTGTGTTTTAAATCCATATGAACATTAATAACAAGTAATAAAATAGATCAATTATAACAATATACTATAATAAAATTTATGTGAATATGGTAAAAAAAAAAACATATGTGTTGCCTTACAGCCGATTCCAAGACCAACCCCGCTGCATTAGCCCCTGACCCTATTAGTCTTGAGAGAGTGTCTCGGTATGACCGAGGCCCGGTGGAATGATATCGGTAAAGCTCTCTCGGGGGGTGTCTCGGTATGACTGGGACCTGATGGAATGATATCAGTTATCTCCCCATCACGGGAGGACACAGTAACGTCAGTGTCCTGGGGCTGTGTAGTGATGTATGAAGGCATAGCATTTGTTGGAGTACAATGGGGATTGGTTGTTGGAAAGCAGCCTTAAGGCACACAATAACACATGGTTACTAATTTACAGCAGTTTTACTTCCTTGAAAATTTTCAATAAAAGCCATGCATTGACCCGATTCGGGGCTCAGTCTTCTCTGGCTGAGTCCCTTGGTCTGGCTCTTATCTGACTTTTGTCTCTTGTTCTTATTCAATCTGCGTCACTCCTCTCGAGTCCCATTTGCCCTTGCCACACAGGACATGACATCTGGCGCCCAACCTTGGGGCTTCTCGAAGAAGGGAAGGAAGATTCTGAATCTTGGTGATTTTCATGGCGCAGACCCTAGGATGGGCCGGCACTCTACTTGGTGAGAAGTAGGGAAAAGTCCTGAGGAATTGTACCGGGGCATCCGGAGAATAACCTAACAAACTTTGTGTGAAAGAGTGTGAATGTGTGATTGATTGATTATAGTTTCAAGAATTTTAGTCGCGAACCTTGAATGGGCTCCAATCTGCCGGTTCCGTAATCTGTCATAAGGCATAACGGCGACTGACTCGTTCACCAGTTCGGGGATTTATACCGAAGCGTCTTAGCCAAGACAGACTTAGTCCCGCGAGGGACGCGGCCAGATGAGCATCTGAGTGAATAATTGAGTGAAAGTTCTATTTTCTCTTCTAAAAACTAATATGGGAAATTCTGAGAGTCGATATAGACCATATATTTGCCTCCTTAAGCAGCTTTCTAAGAAGGGAGGGGTAAAAGTCTCAGAAAAGAAATTAGAGGAACTTTTAAAGGTTATTGAGACACATTGTACTTGGTTTCCAGATTTAGGAAATGTAGATTTAGATCAGTGGGATGTAGTAGGTAAAGATCTTTCAGAAAAACAACTTAAGGGAGAGGAGATACCAGCTACAATTTTGGAAACTTGGAGACAGGTCCGGTCAGTTTTAGAACCTTTACACACTGACACGGAAGATGAAGAGGAAGATAAAAATCAGTTTTGCAAAAGTCTCATTGAATTATCAGAGGATGAGGATAGAGAAGAGGAGTCTGTAGAAGCACTTACAATAATTCCAAAAGCGTTATATCCTTCTTTAAAAAACGATCTGTTAACACCTGATCGTTTGCCTCCTCCTTCAATAACTAGAATGAAGGATTGGGGATTATCTAAAAAACCGCCAAAACTGAAACAACCAGTTTCTTCTGTTGTATTGGCACCTCCACCTTATGCCCGAGGTCCACATTCATCATTGTCAGCTGTAGAAAAAGGAATTCTAACAGGCAAGGTTAGAAGGAGATTTGGATGCTTTAAATTTTCCAGTCATAATTCGGGAGTGTATTGCACCCAAAGATGAACACCCCAATGGTTTGCAGATATTAGAACACCAATCTTTTCCTTTTAAAATCCTTAAGGAACTCAAACAGGCAGTTACTCAATTTGGTCCGACTTCTCCTTATACCATGGGATTAATCCGAGGTATTGCTGACAGAAACAGAATGATTCCAATAGACTGGAATGCTTTGGCTAAAGCCTGTCTTTCTCCAGCTCAATTTCTGCAATTTAAATCTTGGTGGATTGATGGTGCAGAAATTCAGGGCAGACAAAATCAAGCTGGTGAGATAGATGTTACTAAGGATCAATTATTAGGTAATGGAGAGTGGATAAATACTGAAAATCAGATTATGATGAACCGTCAGGCACAAGATCAGCTCAAAATAATTTGTTTGATGGCTTGGGAAAAAATAAAAATGGAAGGAAAAGCTCCAATTTCCTTTCAGAATGTATTTCAAGGACCTCAGGAGCCTTATTCAGAATTCATAGCTTGTTTACAGCATACTATTAAGAAACAGGTGTCCAATGCTCAAGCAGCTGATATAATTCTGCAAATCATAGCTTATGACAACGCTAATAAGGACTGTAAAAAGGCAATAGGGACTCAAAAAGAAAAACAGATGCAATGGGGTACCTTCGTTTATGTCAAGGAGTAGGAACTGAGCAATATAGAGCTACGATGTTAGCTCAACCAATTACAGGAATAACAAGAGGAAAAAATAAATTTCCAGGCACTTGCTTTAATTGTGGAAAGCCTGGACATACAAAAAGGGAACGCAGAAAGAAAAATAAAAATGTCTCTAATATGCCCAATGACTCTGCTCCTGCAGAATCAAAACCACCAGGAATATGTCCCCAATGTCAAAAAGGGAGACACTGGGCATCAGAATGCAGAACAGTTTTTCATAAGAACGGAACTCCCCTTCAGGGAAATGGGAAGCGGGGCCAGCCCCAGGCCCCGACAACAACAGGGGCATATGTAACATCAGCCACTCCTCAGAATTATCAGGCAGTATCTCCCCCAAACTTCCAGTACAGCAATTAAACTCAGCAACAGAAAGGAGTGCAGTGGTAGATGTCTGCACCACTCAAGACATTTTATTACTTCCAGGAGCAACACCTCTCCGTGTACCTACAGGAATTTTTGGGCCAATTCCACCAAATACTGTTGGACTTCTCTTTGGTAGATCTAACTTGACTTCAAAAGGAGTAACAGTTCATACAGGAATTATTGATTCGGATTATGAGGGAGAAATTCAAATTATGTCTTCAACAGTTCCCTGGTCAGCTAAAAAAGAAGAAAGGATTACACAATTACTTTTACTTCCTTATGTTCCTCCAAGAAATAAGGGAATCCAAAAAACAGGAACTGGCAGTTTTGGAAGCACAGAAAAAGCAGGTATCTTTTTAGTAGAAAAAATTTCCGATATTCGACCTATCTGTCAAATTGAAATTCAAGGAAAGAAATTTAAAGGTCTTATAGATAC